TTTTTCCACCAGGAATAAAGGCAAACTTCCAGTAGGTTGTGTGTGACAGGACTTTACCCTTTCTGAAATGCTGGAGAACCTGACACGGAAACGTCCAACTGAATGCAAAGGAGGAGCTCAATGTAACCCATCTATGAAATGATGTATTTTCATGGCCTTGTGTCTGGTAGTGGGATTGTGTGGGTTGTCTGAGTGCTGACACGTGTGCATGTCTTGTAGGTTCGGATGTAAATAACATGGATTTTGTGGACAGTGGCTGTGCCCTGAGGAAGACAGTGACTCGCCAGAACTCTAAGCTAGGAGGAGAATCCAGCAAGTCCGACTTCATTATCTGGGAAATAGAGGTCCCAAAGGTAACCAGCTGCTGGCCTGCTCGCGCATCCTGCCCTGCCCTGCATAGCCATCTTCTGGTTCTTCCGGTCTGGTACTGGCTCAGTGCCATCCCAGGGAGATCAACAACAAATCGAGGAGGATTTAAGCATTTAACTCCCATTAGGACTCAACAGGAGTGAAGAGCCAGTACACAACTGTAAGCAAGAGGCATGTCAGGGCTATGCCCAGGGTAACGTTGGCTGTTGGACTCACTATTCCCTGTTATCTTTCACCCCAATCTGTTAGTCTGATGCTTTGAAAGCATTCAGAAGGCTTTGAGGGTACACAGTTACTAAGAGCAGGTGATGAATTCTTTTTTTTTTTTTCCTTTCCACTGTGTAGGAGGGTTACGTTTCAACTGCCTGTCCAAACCCTTCCTCACAAGCTGGATGCTCATCTGAGCTATTTGTGGAGCTGCTGTGTCTCTGTCTTTAGTGAGGTTTCTTTTGGGTTGAGAGAGAGATTGTGTTTTCTAGGACGATGTTCATACCTTCTTCCCTGCTTTGTATGTGCAAAATCACCAGTGGCGGTCCTGCATAGCATTGCTCTTGCCGTTCTGCTTCTCAGTAGACCCAAATACTGACAGGCAGTAATGCGAGGCAGCAGCTCCCGGCAGGATAAGCATTCTGCCTGGAGTGCTGGGGTGCTGTGAGCCCAGTGACGATGTGTAACGTGCATTTTAATGGATCAGTAAAACAGAGGCTGAGGAAGCAGAAAAACATGTTCCGGTGGTTAGTGAAGACAGGCTGTCACTTTTCTTAAAGTAGTTAACTTTGCATTGTATAGGATTACCCATACTGACTGGGGCCCAACGCTTCTGCTCTGCTCTCTGGCAGTAAGTGGTGGCGGGTGCCAGTGGAAGGGTAGAAGTGCCAGGGCTTGCACAGACACCTCTTCATCGCCCTGCACAGCTGGCCAGGGGCTCTGTAGCCCAACGGGCGTGATGATAGCCTGTTTTACTCTCCTGTGAATTTGTCTACTCCCTTTCTAATCTAAACAGCTTGTTTAAAAATGGCTAAAATCTAGTGTTTCATACTTGAATGAAAAAATGCACATAGCATGCTTTAAAAAAAAAAAAAAAAAAGGTGTGGGAGATTGGGAGATGATGTGACTTTACTTGGCTGTGGGAAGACGGTAGCCTTTACCAGGCCTGGTTTTGCCCCATCATGTCTTTGTGTCGTCCTACAAGATAGGAAGATGGATCTATCAAAATAAGCTGTGCTTACTGATCTCTGTCTACCTTGACTCACCATGGACCAGCTGAACTCTGCGCTGGTCCAGCATCACCTTATATTTATCCTGCCTGGCCCTACGCTACAGGAACTGGGAATATGGGTGAAATAAGCCACCAAGAACACTGCTGTTTGATCTACGTTTCTCTTCCTGACTGTTGCTTTCTTGTCCCTTTCGTAAAGGAGTTAGTTGGCCGCTTGATCGGCAAACAAGGAAGATTTATGAGCTTCTTGAGGCAAGCGTCTGGTGCCAAAATTTATGTCTCAACACTACCTTATTTCCATGACTCCCAAGTCTGTCACATTGAAGGTAAGTGGACTGTCTCTTTATTCATGGTCTAATATGTAGCTTGGGGGCCTTAATTAGATGGGCAAGGAATTTAAACAGATTTAGTGGCTTTGTGAGTCCAGTGCTTTACAAAGCTTTTCTGCCTGGTGCTGTTACAGTAGGGGTGTATGCCAAGTCGCTGTGCCTTGGCATGTGAACCCTCTGCTCTAGAGGGGAGAATGCATTTTAACATCTTTGGCTACTGTAGATTAACCGACGCCTTTTGCAGGATCGCTTCAGGCTTGAAGGAGGAGCTATGGGATGTGTATTAGCAAATTCATTCTTGACTGTGATGGATGTTAGATTAATTGTGGCTGAAAAATATCTGCCAGTGAATTGGGTTCATACTGGAGGCTAAAGCTGTTGGAACTGGGGCCTGGTAGTCCATGTTGCTCGTGTTGGCCTGATATCAGGTTGATGGCCAATCTATTAAAACTTGAATTGTTGATGTAGCACAGAAGGCTTCTGGTAGCTGTATTGCTTCATGGGGCGGGGGTGTCCTCAGCATATCTGCGCTACAGACTGTGGGATTTTGTCTTCCAGGCTCCACGCATCAAGTGGAAAAAGTATTGAGCCTGATTGGCAAGAAGTTCAAAGAGCTGTGTCTCACCAACATCTACGCTCTACCTCCACCAACACCATTGACGCTTCATTCCCTCCTTATGACTGCCTGGGTAAGTCCCGGCTTGCTGGCTGTGCTGGTGCAGGGTGGCAGGCTGTGGCTGGTGGCCCTAAGGCAGCGTGCGGTGGCCCTGTGGCTGCCTCACAGGGGCCTTCAAAGCTGGTTTGAGTCTGAGTGGCTATCTGTTACGTAAATGACTTTACATAAGCTAACAGAGTTTGGCTTACAGGACAGACATCTCCACCTGCTCTTACACTGCTCCTTTCGTTCTGCCTGACTTGAGAAATGTAAGTTCGTGGAACCATTTAGGGTGGAAAGGACCTTTAGGATCATCAAGTCCAGCTCTTAACCTAACACTGCCAAGTCCACCACTAAACTGTGTCCCTAAGTGCTGTATCTACCCATCTTCTAAATACCTCCAGGTATGGTGACTCCACCACTTCCCTGGACAGCCTGTTCCAAAGTTTGTTAACCCTTTCAGTGAAAAAATTTTTTCCAACTATCCAATCTAAACCTTTCCTAGGGCGACTCGAGGCTGTTTTCGTCTCTCATCCTATCACTTGTTACTTGGCAGAAGAGACCAACCCCCACCTCTCCCCAAGCTCCTTTCAGGTAGTTGTAGAGAGTGATAACATCTCCCTCAGCCGCCTTTTCTCCAGGCTGAACACCCCCAGTTCCCTCAGCCGCTCTTCGTGAGACTTGTTCTCCAAACCTTTCACCAGCTCCATTGCCCTTCTCTGGACACACTCCAGCACCTCAATGTCTTTCCTGTCTTGAGGGGCCCAAAGCTGAACACAGTACTCGAAGTGTGGCTTCACCAGTGCCAAGTACAGGGGGACTGTCACTTCCCTAGTCCTGCTGGCCACCTTTTTGGGGTGAGAAGCCCTAATTCCTACATGACCGTTCTCAGGCGCTTCTGTGGTTTCTAACACATCAATAACCCTTGTGTCTTTGCTGTTGTGTGGATCTCCATCCCCTTCCTCCACTGATATAGCAGACCAAAGGACCTCACTAGCACACTGTCCCTTAAACATTGGCATGCCACCCACAGGCTTATCTCCAGCAAGCCTGGCTTTATCTCTTCGCCCTTCAAATCTAGTTTAAATCTCTGTGCAGGACTTAGGTCTCACTGAAAAAGATCCTTTTCCCGCTTTGAGGCAGGCATACCCCATCTATCTCCAGCAGGCCTGGTGTCGCGTAGACTGACCCATGATCAAAACCCCCAAAATTCTACCAGTGATGCCAGGCTCAGAGCCAGGTATCGATCTGCTGGGTCATCCTGTTTCTTTCCTCCTCTTTCTTTCCTTATCTTTCCCTGCAACTGGAAGGATAGGGGAGAACACTACTTGTGCTCCTGATGCCTTAATCAGATGTCCCAAGGCCAACACTTCAGTCTTGAGCTGAGTTGATTGTCCGCCCCCTCTGCTTATGGGCCACTTGCTGTGAGGTCGAAATGCCACACCGACCCGTTGCCATTACTGGTATTGTCCCTAAATCCTAAAACTGGTCTTCTCAGTGTTTTACTTCCTTATGGTATTTAATAACTCTTAAAGAGGGTTTTCACATCAGTGTTTCCCAGAAAAGTTTTTGTGCATCTCTTGCTATATGGATACTTAAAAACACTTCTTTGCTCACACTGGGCATCTAGGATCTATAAGGTCACCGTGCACATAACTGTCTTCATGGATATGAAGACAGGCTTTGTTCTGAAGAATTGAATTTGTGCTGGGAAATGAAAGGTGTGTTAGATGTATTCCGAGCACAGTGATGCTCGGAAGCTGCCCAACACAATGGCTCTCTAGCAGCCAGGGCAAACTACTTTGAAAATGAGGCCTCTGTGACAAATCTTGGACAATCCTTGTGAAGATCACCTTGGTGTTTAAACACCCCCACGGGCAGGGAATCCTTGCAGGTTGCGCTGTGTTGATAGTGCAGCACGACTTGTCCTGTGTCACTTCTGACTCTGCTCACTGATCTCTTGGGTAGGTGTTACAGCTGCTCTACGCCAACAGTCCTTTTGTGTACAAGACGGGCCCTGCCCCAAGTCTGATTTCCTTTAGAGTAGCATGGAGTAACAGGGAGTAGCTTTCAGCTCCTGGTCCAAACAGCCTTTGGAAGTGAAATACCGGAGTGCCAGGGCTTTTCCACCCATGGCTGTGAGCCTCAGGAGCTGCTAGTGGAACACGGAGGGAGGCTGGTGTTGCAATGAGCACTAATGAGAATTTCTTTCCTCCACATGACAGCTGTTCCTCCCAGATGGAGTGACTGTAGAGGTGGTCGTGGCGAACCAAGTCGACGCAGGACACATGTTTCTACAGCAGCACACACACCCCACTTTCCACGTCCTGCGTAGCCTCGACCAGCAGATGTATGCCTGCTATTCTCAGCCTGAAATTCCAACCCTGCCAACTCCAGTAGAAGGCAAGTAACTTGGTGGCTCACCAGTTGTTCAGCTGAGAAATCCAGGGTCGTGTGAACGCTTGATGCCCCTGAGTTAGGTTTGGGAAGCTTCCCAGTGGGTGGGAATGTGATAGTTCACTTGTTATTTTAGCTTTTTTTAAGCCGCTGCCAGGGTACAGATGTTGCTCTACTCTTCCTTACTCCACTCACCCCTGGAGTACCTCCCCAGCCACTTAGCAGCATGTTGAAATTCAGAATGAATTAAAGTCTGTCTCGGGTTATTTCTGATCAACTTGGCATCTGGTGTATTTTTGCTGACAAGGCGTGGAACTGCTCCCAAATCTTCATAGTGTCACTGTCTGCACATGGTGTAAGGTGGAGGGTGCATCACATGGAAAGGGATTATTAGCGCATACTTTCCTTTTTGGAGACAGACCCGCTGTTAGTGACCAAAGGCTGGAAGGGGGCCGGGTACCTGGGTAGAACAGCGCGGTAGTGGCGGACAGACTGGGGAGTAAAACACACCTCTCCGTGTCCCGGCTGCAGCCCCGGTCTGATGGGGCTGTGGGCGATGCTGAAAGAAGATGGAAGCAGTGTAAGAAATGCTGTTGATTCTCAGTAGATAACTGTGCAGCACTACTAATGCCTGAAGTGCTGATTTCTGGAAATCCACTTATACTGAGCCTTTCTTCTCTGTACTCTTACGTTTTGCAGTTGGTATTATCTGTGCGGCTCCAGGCCTGGATGGGGCATGGTTACGGGCTCAAGTTATTAGCTACTTTGAAGAGACCAGTGAAGTGGAGCTCAGATACGTGGACTACGGAGGATACGACAAAGTGAAGGTTGACACGCTCAGACAAATCAGGTCTGTAGCTCCTCTTCCATGGCCTGAGGCCATATCTGGCTTGAATTTTCACCGTCAGCATCCATATCGTTTGAATTACTTATAGGTTTTTCCACAGCTGAAGTGGGAAATGGTAGAAAGGTTTGTCTGAGCAGTGGGTGTGGATTCCTTGGGAGCACAGCAAGCTCTTGCAAGGCTTTTTTGAAGGGGAAGTGAGAGGAAATAGCAACTTTTGCCACTTCAGTGTGGAAGCTGAGTCAAATGGTACCTTTGTGTAGTTAATTGATGAGCTAGGAATGAGATTCAGACTCTGTATGCCCCAGCCCCATGGGCGGGGAAAGCCGTGTCTGATGAGCAAGGCCATTAAATACTTGATTGTGCCCCAGAGCTGGGGGAAAAGCAGTATGGCCCCCATTATGGGGGTGGTTTTTTTGCTTGGAGCCCAGTCCAACTTGCTGTGCTAATCAGACAATTTATTGCTGCTGCTTAGATTGCTGGGAGAACAGTCTCTTCTTTTTTTTTTTTTCTTTTTGATTGTCATCAATTTTAAACTGCATTGATTAATCAATGTCACCTTAAAGAATACAGGAGTAACTTAAAGCTATGTTCTTATTCTGATTGATTCTCTTTAAGGTCTGATTTTTTATCACTACCTTTCCAAGGAGCAGAAGTTTTACTAGACAACGTGGTGCCACTTCCAGGTAATGGAGCTCTCGAGACGTACCGCTGGCGTTCCTCCTGCAGGGTTAAACGGGTGCCAACTGTGTACAAGCAATGATCTGTCTAAACCTTCTCCCTCCTATTGCAAGTGCAGCCGCTGATGTGACTAGAGCAAGGACTGGAAAAATTGTGGTTTATTCTTCTGAATGACCATAGCCTGTCAGACTCCAGGGGAAAGAAGATAAATGTCCAGGTTTTTTCCTGCATGGAGGAGAGAATGAATTACTCTCCTAAACAGCGAGCTGGCAGGACTGGCAGGGTATGGGTGAAGTAGCTGTAACTACTCTGCTGCCTTCTGTCATAGAATGGCTGTAAATGCACGCTTAGTTTGCAGTCTGCTAGACAAATGCCTGACATCTTCCTACTGAAATGACTGATGTGTATAGTCCTGTGTTGAAAGGACTACCCTCCAAGCACTGGAAGAATGTCAGTCACTGCCTAGAAGTACTTTCTGGTTTGATTTTTTTTTTTTTTTTTTTTCAATCCCCCCCCCCCCCCCCTTTCCCTGGGGGGTGATCCCCCCCCTCCTCTCTTCCCTGGCGGTGTTAGAGACACATGCTGTACCGGTGCCCTTCTGGGTGCGGAAGGGGCAGCAGTAGGAGGTCGGGGTCAGACCGGGTTTCAGCGCTGGGGTTTGTGGCTGGCAGGAGCGCAGGAGGCACAGGGCCTGCCAAGGCTGTAGGGGGATGGCAAGGTTTAAGCTGCTTCTAGCAGAAGTCAGTCTTTTGCATGTTCCTTGAGGTAATCGGCTCCTTCAGTATTGGTGGGGTTGGGAGGAGTTCACTTGCTGCTGGAGATGGTCTCGGGGTGGGGAGCACGAAGGAGAAATTTTATTTTGCAGCGATTTGGTAGGAAATAAGCAACTTTCCTCCAAAATGAAAAACCCTTATGTCCTGTCTACAGCATGGACTGTATTGCCTGGGACAGGAGGGTTTTCTGCTGCGTTAGTGCAGAGCAGCAGCAGTGCCCGCGTAAGCAGCGCAGGCTGCGGGAGCTGAGCCGCCAGCGCTTGCGAAGAGCGCTTGGTGCTGCCGAGGTGCTGCCCGCCCGTCGTGTAAACGCTTTTGAGTTCCCGGTTACGCTATCGCATTGTGCGGGGTCAGTAAAGTCCTGAGGTTAGTTTCTTAAGGATCAAAATACTGACAGCAGCTCAAAGGTACTGCAGAAGTATACTTTTCTGTCTTTAAAGCCTCCTAATTCATCCGCCACTTATGTTGGCATTACCTTAGCTAGTGGCTTTAGAAAGCACCTCATCCGTTCCCCATAGCAGCGCAACAGGCATCATACTTGTGTCATCTCCAGCTTAATAGCCCAGTTTCAGCAAATGCCTACAGCAGCAGTAGGTGAGGATTCTCTGGCATAACTTATGTGGGAGGTCAGACGAGATTTGCTTAGCAGTCCCTTCTGGCCTTTAAAGCCTGTGAATATCTCATTTGTTTTCTCCTGCTCTTTTCTTTCCAAAGATGAGGATCACTTTTCATCTGAAGCTGACGCCGCTGTTAGTGAGATGACCAGAGGCGCAGTCCTAGTGGCGCAGGTACGTGAGAACTGTCTGGAAAAACCTCGTTGCTGGTCTGACGGCTGCTGCTCTCCCCTCTGCCCGTAGCGTACTGTGGGTGCTAAAATCAAAACCGAAGGCAGAGCCTGTAAGCCCAGCTGCTGGGCAGCGTTCTTGTTGGGAAATCTTGGTGCCGAGAACTTCCTTGTGTAGCACCGGCACCGCTCAGGGCTGCGGGGCCGGGAAGGGTGGAGTGTTCCCTCTTGTTACTGGTGTGGGCAGGGGGGAAGGGCACCTCAGGGCGGGTTACGGAGCGCCCCTGATCCCAGTGAAGAGGCACTTACCTCTATCGAAGGTCTTCGAATAGTGGCTGTAGCCATCCACGTAAGTTAATTGGGACGAACGGGAAGCTGACAGCATTTGTGATGCTCAGTCTCGTAGCTTCCTTTGGTGTAACGCGGTGCTCAAACGCACCACTGATTCCAGCAAGGGCATGGGTTGGAGTGACTGGAGCAACTTGCCAGCAGCGTGTCCCAGCTGCCTGGCGGCAGTGGGCACCATTCCTCTAGCCTACACGGAGCTTTAGGTATGAAGTACCTGCTAGGCAGTGAATGATGCTGGCCTTGCCTCCTCCGTGGCTCGGACCAGAATTGCTGCACACCAATGTTTTTCTGTGTTTCCAGGTCACAAATTATGATAGCGCGACGGGTCTGCCACTGATACAGCTCTGGAACTTGATGGGAGATGAGGTGTGTATGTTGATATACCTATTTTTTTTTTTCAGTGCTGTTAGAGTTAATGCAGACTTTTTATTGGTAATTAGGAACTTGCTGATGTTTGTTACTAGCGGGTTTTTTTCACCTTTCTACTTTTTTTTTTTCTTTACCTCCTTTTAGGTCCTGTCAATAAACAGAACTCTGGTGGAAAGAGGATTTGCACAGTGGCTTGACTACTAGCAATGCCCTAGATGCCTCGACAACTCTTTCTGCAGAGAAAAACAAAAGAATAAATCTTGTTTTGCACTGTTACAATTCGGTTTGGCAACCTCTCAGAAGAAGACCTGTTTACGCCAGTGTGCGGAGTTTTGTGGTCCATTGAAACTCATTTTGCTCAACTGTTACCATTTCACTAGAAACACGTACCTCATCTCAGTGAGAGGCGGGGTGTTAAAAGCCATAATGACAGATACTGTAGCTTTAAAGCAAAAAATCCTCCCTGGCCTCTACTCAAAAGTTGAATGGGAAAAAAAAAACAAACCAAACCTTGAAACCTTGGGGTTTGCCTGAAGTGGGCAAATGCCCCCAAAACATTAACTGCGGTTGCATTTTCGTACAAGATGTGCAATGCCCTATGAACTTAGTGTCTGCTTTTCCTAAAATTATATCAGTTGTCCTTTTTTTAACAGGCGCTGCCTATGAAATTAATTAATGTTATTAAGGAATTTAATGTTCAGTTATGGAGTTTTCTATATTGTGCCACTAACCTGCACAAACAACGTTCATCTTATGTCTTCCTTATGCCAGGAGGTAGATGAATTGCATTCGTTGCACTTGCTGTGGCACATGTCTCACTGCAGTCATGGTTTTTAGGCTCGATATGCTTAAGGAAGAAGGCTTCTCTGTGCAGATGCTTGAAGTGCAGGATATGTTACCACTACAATTTTTGCTCTGAAATGTCATGTATTTAAAGAAAAGAACTGATTGCCAAGCCCAATTGTAGTTTATATTTTTCTAGCTGTGCAAGTATGTAAATATATATAAAAAAAAACATTGTAATATTTTGTACAAGAAAATCACTGGAAACAAAGGGAACTTTACAGAAACTTTTTCACACCAAAATGTCCTATGTAGGTAGAACTGGTTTGGAGTGCGTTAGGGTAGCTGACATATTTGGAGCATCTGAATGTCGGAAGTGTTTCAGCTCTGCTGTATACAGGATTAGCATTCCCTTAGATTGCTGTCTGGTTTGAATTGTGATCACTGCATTCTTTGCTATGTTGCTGTACAGATCTGTTTAAAAAAAAAAAAAAGTAACAACTTGGCATTAATATTGCAGTGGTGTTCTCTCTCAGTTATTTTTTCGCTCCTTTTTAGATTTCTATCACATATTTAAAATTTTGCTCAAGTAATTTAAGCTGACTTAATACTCTTGAACAGATGCCCTCTAATGTATATCATTTTAGATATGTATTGAGCTGGGATTTATTGCTGGCAGAGAAGGCACTTGCCAGGAAAATGATGTAGTCAGTCCTCAGAAGTTTTTTCAGGTGAATTCAAGGATGTCCTTACATCCTATGAGCTAACATGTCAGTGCATCACACATTTGGATAGTTGCCTACAAAAGCATTTGGTCCAATCCCTTCTGATATGGTATGTTTATATCCTTTTTTTGAGTTCTCTCCTATTCGGCGCTTATGATTTAATGTTCATGTTTGCAATAACATCCAATGAAAACTAAATTTGGTAACTCAGTTAAATCTATAAAACATATATCCTCTTGGAATGTTTCTTTCCATTTCAATTAAAGCTCGAATTTTAAGCTGTCTTAAACTGATGACTAAGAGCCTTCATTTCCTGACCTTTTGCGATGTAGCGTTGGGAAGGGAGCTCGGTGGGGTAAGCAGGTAAGAGAAGATCCTGATGGCTTTTCAACAGATGCAGATCTCCTGGGGTTCCTTTTGCTTCCAGCTGAAAACTGCGTTTCTTTTTGGAAGAGTTACTGGAAAGCTGTAGTCTGAGCACTGGTACTCAAGGCTGTTGAAACTGCTGTATATTTGTGGAATTAATTAACTCGGGACGTCCCTTTTATCTCACTTCAGTGTTTAAAGTGAAACTTGGGCGTCTGTTTCTGTTGTGCGGGCTATAAAATCCCCTCTTTAAAATGTTGACGGGTTCCAGATATCAGTCTTAAGGTTCATTGCAGAATATACACACGCCCTGTAGGTGCTCTAGACTGCAACTCAGCGCTGCTAAAGCAAGTGGTAGGTGAAAAATCAAACACGGGGATTTTTGGTGGGGGAGTAGCGAGGTTGGAAGTTAGCAAAGTTTGACAATGCCCTTTCTTCGTGCTTCTCGCCCCAGGAAGGGGGTTTCATTTCAGAGGGTTTCTCAATCCTTGCTAGCCTCCGGTATCTGCTGAGGGATGGCTTTCCCCGGGTGGAGAGTGGGTGGTTAACACGCTCTTGGCATCCCGAGCACGACGCGTGGCGTGCAGAGCTGTGCGCGCACAGCAGCTCTCTGCCGCCGCTGCAGGCTGGCTGTGGGAATTCCCTGTTCCAAATCGCCTGCCGGATGCCTCCTTCCCTCGACGGGGTTTCTGGCCAAGGGGAGGAAGGAGCTGTGGTGTAGCTGTGAAGGTGGTTGTCTGTCCCTCAGCTCTGTAATGAGCGGCGCAGCGGTGCCTTGTGGGGTACCTGCCCTGCCAGGTGAGGTCTCCCCTAATTAGACCAGTTCTGTTGGGCAGGAGCCAACCCCTTGTGGAGGGTTTGCGTTTCGGCCTTACGGCGGTGCCTGATAGTGCTCTCCTGGCGGTGTCTGGCATGGTGGACAGGCTGGAGAGGAAGGGCCAAGAGAAAACAGAGTGCCCTGCACTCCTGCAGGTGAGCGCGGTGCCCAGAGGAGTTTGTTTGTGTTTCTTCTGAATTTGTCTCTGGGGCTTTTTCTTTGCTCGGGTAGGCTTTATGCCCTGGGGCTGGATTCACCTTGGGGCAGAGAGCTGCAAACCGTGGGTGGTTGTGTGAGGAAGAGGAGAGAATCGTTGCTGCGTTCTCCAGCTGCGACCTGGCCAGAACACGGGAGTATAAAATAAGGAAAGGGTGGAAGGGGCTGGGCTGCGGTGGGCTGCTTCCAGAGACGGTACAGCTCCGCGGGGGCAGGCGACAGTCCCTCCACAGCTTGGTACTGCCTTAACCCTTCTCCACCTCACACCACTGCTTTCTGACTCATTGTGTACAAGCTTTTTCTCCTCCGAAGCCGGTCCCCGTGCTGGAGTCCTGCCGAACAGGTGAAACGGGGCTGTTGTCATCTCTGAGGGATGCGGGAGCAGGAGGCTTTGCTTACCAAATGCCAAAGCAGAAGAAGAAGAATATAATTCAGCCTGACAGCCCCGAGGTGGTAGCACCATCCCAAGGGAATGCTGATGCTGCGTTCTAGGCTTTGGGAGCAAACGGGTCACCCTCAGCTCTCCTCCCACATCCCAGAGAGCTTCAAGATACAGTCCACAGTCATCAGGCTCGAAATAAAGCATGTTAGTTTGGAAGTGGTGGGGCTTTTTCCTTAGGAGCTTAAAGCAGCCCTGGACTTCTTAGTCTGCCCCCATGGGGACGAATGTGTTACTTATTGTTCTTGACAAAGTTTAACTCATCTCAACGCCGGTGTTTTCCCCGGCTTTGAGGGCTGTGTCCGGCGGGGACCTGCAGTGACCGCTGGCGGCTGGTGTGGGGAGCTCTCCCGGCGGCTGCTCTGCCTCCCGTGTTTTCCTCTGTCTCTGCAATATGGAAAAGCAGCCTGTTCATAGAACTGTTCGCTGTTCATGGAATCATTCTCTGTTCCTTATTTGTGTTGTAAGCTGCCTATTTTTTTAAGCTGTAGTAAGTAGAACGTTGTAGGGTGAGATTAACAAAAATAAAGAGGTGTTGGCAAGTAACAAATAGGCATCCTTCTTTCTTTAAAATAAATCTCAACCTGTATAGATGCATTAATAGCTTCAGTAGTACCCCAAGGACATGGGGGACTTTTTTTTTTTTTTTTAGCATTATGGACAAGGGTGAATGGCTTTGCTGAGATGCGAAGAGATGAATATGGACTGCTTGGAAAAGAGCAGGGGAAAAGGCACAGGCCAAAAAAGGAACAGGGGAAGTTGAAACAAGTGAGTTGTATTTGCATCTTCCTTTCCGAGAGGCAGCGGTGGTGCTTCGTGCCCCATCACACCTCAGGAACGGGGCTGTGATGGGTTTTGAAGGGGTTGCGCTGCTCGTAACACCGGCGGCTGTGTAATTCTTGGCTGCAGACCCAGGGTTGAGCGTACGTGCATCTGAGCTAAGCCGTCCCATGGGGTTGGTTTGACTGAAGCCATTCAAAGGGGCTTTCCCCTTTGAAAAGTGGTAATTTTATTACGGGTAAAATGAATGAGGTCTCTGGAGATGCCTAATTTATAACTTCCTGCGGGCCGCGAGCCACACTCCGGCATTCCCCCACCGAGCAGCCCCTGGACGCGCAGACCTCCCCTCTTCGGGCTCCGTCCCAGGACGAGGGGGGCTTCCTCCGAGGCTTCCTCACCTCGCGGCCTCTGCCCCTCGTCCTCCTGCCCTGGGCAGCCCTGGGACCGTGTCCCCGCCGCAAGCAGCACCTTCCTGCCGGGCCCCCCTGAGCACCAGGGCCCGTCCTGAGGCAAAGCCCCGAGAGGATTTTCCTTCTGCACATCAACTCAAAGGCTCCTTAGTGAGGGAGGAGGGGAGGAGCGAAGAGGGTGTTTTTGGAGCAGATGGAGAATAATGGTGCCCCTGTCTGACGCTGGCGCTCGGAGCAGTGACGCAGGAGCCGTTCGGCTCCTCACCTCTCACAGCCACGTATGCAGCCCGCTCGCGGGGCGGCGGGGAACCTGCCTCTGCCCTTCCACGGCGGAAACTTCATTGGCAGTGGGTTTTTCCTAAAAAGAAAAAAAAAAATCAGATGCAAACTTTATTTTCATTCTACCACGTCACACAAATCTATCCGGTGCTGTCCCTGTCGGAGGCTGCTGAGCCAGAATTCAAGAACACGTGTCTTGCATTTAGTTTATTGCCACAGGGGATGTGTTTTGGCTTCAGTCACCTCTGCTTCCTCTCCCCCTCCTTCCCCAACCCCTTCAAAAGAAAAAGCAGCAATGCTGCAAAGCAAGAAGGAAAAAAATCTGGCTGCATTGAGCAACAGGAGGGATGATGGCACCTGGGGGAGAGTATCGGGGCTCGGGCTTTTTGCCAGGGAAAACGTGAATGGTTCTTGTAATG